TGCAACGAATATAATACAATGTGAAAACAATTGTATAAAAATTAAACGATTTTATTGTCAATAATTTACTATAATGGAAAAAATTTATAATCGATACCCCACGTCATTTAATCCACTACGCTGTAATGGATATCCGACACGTTACAGCAAAAGCAAAGAGCTAGGCTAGCTTTATTCTCCTAAAGATTTCATTCTGCCTCCTCTCGTGTGATGATTTGTGATTCATAGCAATGTTAATGAGAGTGTCCAATAAAGATGACTGATCTTCTTTAATTCTTGCCCTACCAGAGCCTTATTGGAAAATCGTTTTAGACTACGTCGGAAACATTTAATCTCTATCCATTATGATGCTGACAACACATTTTTTTTTATATGTCGAGGTCACAAAGGATGCTGCAGCGTTAGCGGTAGCCGTAAAGGTAACGGTAATGGTAATGATAGGTTAAAGAGTAATTATAGTGCGAAGAATAGAGAAAAAGCATTTGGTTTTGGTTAGGAAAAGGTTTGGAGATTTGGGGATGGTTATTTGTGAAAGAAAGGGAAATTTATTGGTATAATGTATTTTATAGTGCGGGAATTACACATGGTAGTAATTAAGAGGAGGTAATTGATGTGGTGGCTTGCACCTAGATAAAACGTCGCATTTTCTATAAAAGTATCTACTATTTTTTTTTAAAAGATAGAGAACATGCTGTAAATATACAATGGTCTGTTACAATTTCTTATATTTTTAACTCGTTCGTTTTACTAACGTTCATTTTACGCTTTTAAATTTTTTTATATTAGTGTTCAATATGCTAAATAATCCTGCATGATATTTTTCCGATATTTTATGATTGTACTTTTTAATTGTATCATTTGGGATTGTTTCTCTTCAGGGGTCGTCCATAAATAACGTCACACTCGTAGGGGGAGGGGGGTCCGTAATTTTGTGACGGTGTGTGACGATGGGAGGGAGGAGGTTCAGATGGTGTGATATATATATATATATATATATATATATATATATATATATATATATATATATATATATATATATATATATATATGACGCTTTTTGAGGAAATTTCAGTAATTGTTAGTGGTATTTTATTTTAAAGTTCGAAGAACTTTTCCCTTTTATGTATTTTCACGAATAAAATTATCGTATCAGTCACATATTGAACTATCATTTCTATTGTCCGATCTCCTTGGAGATGCCGCCCCAACCTCTACTGTTATAAAAGAATTACCTAGAAGTTTGGGGGAGATCTCGTCCGTTTTTTAAAATTGTGAAATGGGGATATTTTCGTTCATAGTGTACAATGTGGTAATATATTTAATCGTTAAAGGAGCCTTCCTTTAATTTGTTTTTTAGAATTTTACAAGACGTTTTTCCTGTGTTTATTTAATTAATTTATTTTATTTTATATGTTTTTATCAGCTCTATTGTTCTCTAGAGTATTTGTCCTTGATCTTTGTTGTTTGTTTCAATAAACGTTGTATTGAAATAAATTCTTGATTCAAATGCTATCAATATAATTTAGATTATTAGATAAGTACTGTCTTTAAATACATGAAAAAAAAAGACACAATTACATTTTTTGGCGCTTTTTGCACTTTCCTTTTGTAACTTTTTTTAACTTCACAATAAATATATTGGCAGAATTATATAAGCTAACATGAGTAATAATATACTTTTCAATATACATTCACTATTTTTAATGCTGTACTTAAACCCTAAATAAAAAAAAGTATCAATGTGTCATATCAACATTTTACCAGGAAACTATGTTTGAAAATAATTTCTTCTACAGTGTCTATTGTATTTTTGTATTATACTTTCGTTAATGTAAGCCAGGTTGGATAGAAGCTGTTAAGATGGTATATCGTGATGTGTTAGGGGGTCGGCGTGGTCAAGTCGGTTAAGACCATGGCTGCTAACCCGAAAAGACACGAGCTCGAACCCTCGGGCAGATGAGGCTCGTTAGATGGGGACAGCCACTCTTCTAGGAGAGACAACTCCAAAATCAAACAACTGCTGCCTTGTATTTTGTTCTTGGTTGGACAAAGGCTATGGAAGCAAATAAAAAAAATAGGCTGAAATCGGATTCAATGGCCTCAGTGGCGCATAACCGTTTGACACGTATACTTAATTGTGGTGGAGGGGATCTCTTCCAACACTAAAATTAAGAACGAAGAAGGAGAAGTGATGTGTTACAATATAAAGTGGCGGACCGAAAGTGAAATTTTAAGACAGCTGAACTGTATGTAGATCTTTAATCACTATTGACTACGCAATTATTTATATAGTTTATAATGAATTATACTTGCTAATGAATTTAAAACAAACTGAACCTAATTATTTGTTTAAGAATAGTCTCCTTCAATGACCAGATAGGCTACGCATATCAACATTTTGAAATATCTAAATACTATATATTACAATTCCCCCCCCCCCCCCACACACACACCCTCCTATCTTTTGTTTGTTCCGCTATTTTTAATTGTCAGAGTTGTACCTGCCTCGAGGTGTCCCTTGTGTTTTATGGACCAAATAAAATGTGGCGGATATACATCACGTACGTGACCAGACAATAAAACAACGAGTGTCACGTACATTGAGTTGGGGGTCAATAGCAGATCATCTCCATCTGGACCACGTCTATACGTATTCTTTCACCCACTGATTGTACTACGTGTTACAACAGATTGTATATTTGTACAGACTATCTCTACCATGTATTTGTGTACCAAATAAATGTTCCACTTCTCTTTATACCAACTTACTTTACAAAAGTCTTTGTACTATCTAACTATACAACTTATCTTTGTACCAACCAACTGTACCACTTAACTTTGAATCAACTAACTGTACTTAGCATAGTTTGGCCACCTCCATTTACTGATGATTTCCGAACAAAATTTTAATTATACATTTTTAATTGGATATTAGCAAAAAGATTTGATTGAATTCGTTAACAAAATGTTCAGATCTCTAGATGAAACATACTAGTCTTTTTAAAATTAAGTTCACTGACCGTTTGTTCACGGAATTTTTTACGATGAAGTATATCGTGAAAAAGTGTATGATTGAATGATTGTATGATCGTATTATTGTATGATCGTATGCTGGTATGATCGTATGATTGGATGATTGGATGATTGTATGATATTACCAAAAACAAAAACAAAATTAAAACAAAACAACCCACATAGATAGCATAATGAAAAATAAATTCTCATGTTAAACACAGTTTACAACTATACACGTATACATATATACTTTTTAATTGCAGACATTAACAACCATCTAATCTCGTATCTGCATTAATTACGATACAATCTGAGAGTTTAACGCCAATACTTTACTAAAAAAAAGAACACACTTCTGTACGTCACCTCAATAATCTTATGCGGATTATAATGTTGACATTTAAAACCAGTTAATGTCAACTGTAAAAATCTATGTCTAGTCAACGTATGTCAATGGCACGAAATGTAAACGGGAGCTTTGTTAATTCATTTATATTTATGTGTATTCGTCAACATATGTTAGCATAAGCGACTAAAACATTCTATTTCTGAAACATTAAGGATGAAGTAACGAGTTGTGGTGGAAAGGGGAATGTATGGTATGTATGTATGTTTAGCATCTAGTATCCCAGGTATTGGAGCTTGGTTCTGACACTAAGTGTGTGGTGTGGTGTGTGTATGTGTGTGTGTTTTCTGTGTGTATGTGTATATGCGTGTGTGTACGTGTGTATGTGTGCGTGCACGCATGTGTGTGTGCCTGTGTACGTGTGTGTGTGTGTGCGTGTGCGTGCACGCATGTGTGTGTGTGTGGATGTGTGATTTTGTGCACGCATGTGTCTGTGTATGCGTGTGTCTGTGTGTCTGTGTGTGCGTGCGTGTGTGTGTGTGCGTGTGTATGTGTGTCTGTGTCTGTGTCTGTGTGTCTGTGTGTCTGTGTGTGTGCATGTGTCTGTGTGTCTGTGTGTGTGTGTGTCTGTGTGTGCGTGCGTGTGTGTGTGTGTGTGTGTGATTCTGTGCACGATCGCGCGTGTGTTAGCCACTGTCGTGTCGTTGCCCCCAGTCGTCCCAGTTCTTGTGGCCTAGGACGACGTGGATGTGACACGTCAAACAAAACAACAACCAACTGCGGCTTGTTTGAGCACTGTGACGTGTGGTGCAGACGATAGATATTGATTAACGACCGCACACTGGACACCTCATCAAGTAACAGGCTGGCGATCAACCTCAAAAAAAAAACATTTTATTAAAATTAGAAGGTAAGAGAGGTTTTTTTTTTAATTATATAATATGCAATTGAATTAAGTGATAAATATAATATTTCTAAGAATGTTCTTGGGTTCATAATTGTATTTAATAAGTTAAATTCATGAATAATAAAGTAATCGGTGTAATTATTTATTTATTTTTTATAAATGCTGTATAGAAATGTTTTGATCAATGGGAAAGCATTAAATGGGAGATTTATTTATTTATTTTTTTTAAGTTTTTAATCACCTCTTCAATAAACACATCTCCCGTTCCGAGGAAAATAAAATGTATATAGAAGACACATTATTTTACCTGTTTCTAGCCCCACTTCAATGACATATTATTTTAGTCAATAGATTTTTGAAAGATACTTATAATTTATAACACACTTGGCGTAGTATCAAATTATTTCACTTTTCTTTTGCTTCTTTGCTCATTGTATGTAGAAGAGGTGCTGATAGGAAGGTTCGGCCACAATTTGATTAATGTAATCTTTAACTTTATTTAGTTTCAAAGCGCACCCTACCATCTCAATGTTCTTTATTACAGATAATTAGTTTTTATAAGATATTAATTTCGAAACTCTAAGTAACAATACATTAAGTAGCAATAACATGTTGGTCTTTTTTAATCGGAATATTGTTATTTTTAAAAATGTAAAGTAATTAGAAATAAAATATTGTCTAACACTATTCCTTAGCACCAATTTTAACAATGATTAAATATTGTTCTGCAGGATGCCTTTTTTGCCAAGAAGACGCAGATCAACTAGAGTGACCATACCTACCCTTCTGCTGCTTCTACTTTTCGCTGTCCATTTTTATTTCTTTACCACTGGGTTTTCTACAACGTGTACACGATCTGATGGAGAAGTTGTTCATAAGCCGCAACGTAGCAGTCTGACAACAAGGAGTTTAGTCGTGAATTGTCTAAATCAAGATCCGGGATGTTTTAAAACAAACTTGACAAAAGGAAGCAACAGTGAGGTTTTTAATCATAAAGTAGAGCAAGTTGAAAATGTAGCACAGAAAATAATATCAAAGAATAGCGGCTTACTCTCTAATCTGAGTTCAAAGACAACAGAGTTTAAAGAGTACCCGGGATATTTTGAGAACTTCACGTATTTTCAACTCAATAGGTCACGTGTGTCGGACATTCCTAGCCAGTATTCGATCCCAGGTGCGTCCGTGTGTTCAGGTGATGTTGACCTGTTGGTGATGATTATGAGCGTTAAACAGCACAGTGACTGGAGGCTACTCATACGTCAGACATGGGCGTCACCAATTTACGACAAGTCCTGGAGCCAAAAAGGTTTGGTTCGATTGGTCTTTTTCTTCGGGAATGAAGGCTTCACAGATGTAGAGAATCTTGCATTGTACAACGAATCCAAACTTTATGGGGACATCGTTGTGGCAAGTTTTAAAGACAGCTACGGGAACTTGTCATTAAAGTTAGCCACGGCTTTGACTTGGGCGTCCAAACATTGCCCACATGCTAAATTTGTTGCTAAAGTGGACATGGACACCTTTGTCCTACTACCAACTCTGATGGAACTTCTCCAAACAATATCACACAACCACACGGAGTTTATCCTAGGGTTCCAGCACCGATACATCAAACCTCTTGTGCGGCGTAAAGGCAGATGGGCGGTGACGAATGAAACTTACCCCTACTTTTACTTCCCTAAGTACATCTACGGACATTCCTACGTGATATCTGGTCCCGCGGTTCACAAAATGGCTGCGAGCTTTCCCTTTGTTCACATCGTTCCTAACGAGGACGCGTTCATCACAGGTATCATGGCCGTCACGTTAAACATCACCAGACTGGGCAATCCTACCTTTGCCTACAGCTTAAAGAAATATAAAATTTGTGATTTGGTTTACGGATATTTTGTTACGGCGATATACAAGAAAATTTTCTTGAAAGAAATATGGACGAATGTACTAAATAAGAACTGTTCTTCAGTAGTGATTAATTAAAACTTGTTATACAACCTAATGCTTAGCCCTTTATCCACTGACGGTACTTATAAGTACCACTTTTATTAAGCGCCTGTATTATTTTTAATTTAGGACAAATTTAAAAATTATTGATGAAGTTGATAGAGTCATCTCCCCTGAGTTACAGGTATGTGGAGCGATCGATGTTTTTTGAACTTTTTTGGTGCGGCATCATTTTCAATCTCTACCTGTATCGGTAGTTCACAATTGTTCTGTACATATCTCACATGTGTTCCTGATTTCCCTTTGTTTTACCTTATTCTTCAAGTTTTCAACACCGAATATTTTTAATTGTTATCTTTAATAGTTAGGTTAACGTGTTTAACTTCTAGTTATACAAATTTAATCAAATTCTCTTTGTATTAGATCAATTTTTCGATGTGGATTGACATAAATATTATCTATATATATAATTCTCTTCTTGGAGACGTTAGAAAACAAGCTGTAAGCGCGCCGAGCAGTCCCCTTTTTTCGTCTCTAGGCATATTGCAACCACCCCCACCCCCACACGGTCTGGTGAGCTGTGGTTCACGCTAGATGTTTACAATCATAGAGCCGGGTTTAGTGACGCCTATTTAGTTTGAAACTGTTTTAAACTCAGGAGAGGTAACTTAGAGGAGGCTGCTTTCACGTGGGGGGGGGGGGGGGGGGGGGGGAGAGGGTTTTTAGTGTTTTAAAGCAAATATTTTTAAGTGGCAACATTGGTACTGTCGAATTCACAAATTATGAATTACTGAAAAGTAGAAAAACCAACAACTAAATAGCGGCGTATGATACGCCGCGGGTCGGCTCGTTTTTAATAATTAATTATCGAAGTGTACTTTAAAAAATAGTTATATACATTTATAAGAAGGTTAGCATTGGGTTTACCTCAGGAATATTGTAATTGATTGCAGATTTCTAGTAGTAAAAGAAAAACAATAATAGAGGTGGCATTTGCAGGCTCGTTTACTAGGTTTAGTATACGTTATTTGTATACCAAAGTCTAGTTCTAGAAGTAAGATGTGTTAGTTATATCTATTGCAAAAAAACTATCTTGTCTACAATAGCTAGCGTTTATGTAATGTATACATGTAGACTAGTAATAGTCCATACATCTGCATGTAATATAGATAGTTTTGTAAATTGTAATAAGTAAACACAAAACAGTAGGCCACTACGGCTATTCTAAACACATTGAGCTCACTTTTAATTATGAACTTTACACTGTAGTGTAGACTTGTCATAACATTCTAGTAGGCTACAATAATGCTAGTATTACTAGTAGTAGTGTACTGAATGGCTAGGCTTTCGTTTTCAAAATATTTGTTTATGCGGCTCATTGTAATAGCTATTGGAAGCTTTCAGCAAAAGCAGGTTCAGTCCGGCAACTGTTGCCACACCAGAAAGACGACAGACAAGAATGTATGAGGATTGAGGAATGAGGGAGTATGACATGTCGGAACCTTTTGCTGTGTTTGAGGTCTAAGATGTGTTCCGATAGAAAATCCAGTAAAAATCGTACTCAAAATATACTTTTGTGCTGTGTTTATGAGTGAAAATTACAAAAAAATGAGTGTTATAATGATTGCCATGTAATTAGTTAATAAGTTGTATCGTTTTTTCCTGTTTTTTATATATTTATTTTTTTTGGAAAAAATGTCCTACCTTCCTGACGGTACTTATAAGTACCAATATATGTTTTGGCCCTTAAAAATGTATGAAACAAAATTTCCTTCGATATATGCTTTAAGTGTGCCAAAAGCAATATGATAACACATTGTTTAAGAAAAAATGTCATTCGGAACATAATTTCGTAAATAAAGGGTTAAAAAATCATAATTTAAAATTTATTTTTCTTTTATTTGGTAAAATGTGTAATTTGCTATACTTACAATGTCTCAATTATTTAAACCTGATTACAGCATATTTCAATTTTACTGTTGCAGTTCTATCTGTGTATACAATTTGTTCTTGTGTTAGACTAAGATTTAACTAATGCATACATTGCTAAAATATATTCATGTAAATTATACCTACATATTAATTTTATTTATATCAATTGTACCATTTTTGTTATAGCTTTCAAAATAAATGTATCGATAGTTGAATGAAGAATCACTCATTCTAGATAAATACGACAATATGACTATTCTATTTTATAAACAAGGATATATATATATATATATATATATATATATATATATATATATATATATATATATATATATATATATATATATATATATATATATATATAAAATTCTCTACGTCGCCCAACCTTGCGGGACACCATCAGTACTCACGCTTTACAAAAGTAGAGCCGGATCGAATTAGTGATGGCTAGAAGGGGCAGATAATTTAGTTTTTAAACGATTTGACAGTAAGAGGAGGTAATAAGTTATCCTTGATCTTTTCATTGTCGTCTGTAAAATGTCGTCACGTACGGGGGGACGACACGTAACGTGAGGATAATTGTACTTCTCGGCACACTGATAGCGTTTTAAGGCAAAATATTTTCAGTTTCAAAATTGGTAGTGTCGAATTCGCAAATAATGAATTACTAAAAAGTAGAAAATAAAACAACTAAATAGCGGCGTATGCTATGCCGCGGGTCGGCTCGTTTCATATAATATGTATAACATGGTTTAAACATTTTAATGATTCTCACTGCACATTACCATTTTCTTGTGGGCGGACCGAATTCTTTTATACAAAAGAATAAAAAAGTACTTATAAAATTCCCACAGTCGCTAGACAGTTTAAAGCGACGGCATCGATTCTTGCAAATAATTTCAATTGTGTTTATCACACAATGCAAATAAGAAAGTATTAGGCGATCGCAGGTGGAAAGTTATTTCCCACTTTTGTGTGGTTTCGCTTTCATAAAAGTCACGTTCGCAAACATTGCTTTGTTCTATCGTAACATGCCGATATTTTACCCAGTTGCTATAAGTGTTAGTAAAACGCCTAGCTAAAATTTCTATTCGTTTAAATAAATATCTATAGATATTTCTGACGGCATTGTTGGAAGACAGTGTGCGCAACTGCTATACCAAAAGCCTACAGTTCAGATCCTGGGTTACAGTGTGAATCACGGTGCTGAGTCCACTCAGCTCGAAAAGGTTAACCATTGCAGGGTTAACCATTGTTGTATACTATAGAAAAACAAATAAACAATAAGGAAATGCATTGATCAACAATATTGATCAATAATTTTGACCGACAACGTTGACCATCAACCTTGACCAACAATCTTGACCGTTAGACTTCACCAACAAACTTGACCGGCAGTCTTTACCAACATACTTGACCAACAACCATGACCAACAACCTTGACCAACAACCTTGACCAACAACCATGACCAACAATATTGAACGACTTACTTCAACTAACTCGACCGACAACCTTGACTAGCAACCTGGACCAACAACCCTGACGAACAACTTTGACCAACAACCTTGGCCAACAACCTTGACTGACATGCTTCGCCTAACTGGACCGACAACTTTGACCATCAACCTTGACCAACAACCTTGACTGACATGCTTCCCCTAACTGGACCGACAACTTTGACCATCAACCTTGACCAACGAACATGATTAATAGCCCTGCGCAGCCAGCTTGACAGCCTTAACAAATGACATTAACGAATGATTTCGATCAACATCTTTGATTAATTACCCTGACTAACCGCCTTACCTAATGACCTTAATAATTGACATGTTATAAAACCTGAATAAAATCAATGTACACGTTACGAGAACAACACAATATTATGTATGTTGATTAAATTTAAAAAGTCAAACTTTCAGGTATTTCGGTTGGTAGTGCAGTGGCAGATTAGAGTTCATGTTTCTTGACCTCGGCATTTGAAGGAAAGTTGTGATCAGCACAATGCTCAGTCGCATTTACTTTCCCTAACAAGAATTAGATACCTATCAGAGCTGAGGGGACTGCACTCAAGGACGTTCTACTGTCTTGAACCAAGCTTCGAACTCGAGACTTTCGGATTAGCATCCTAGCGTTCTATCGCTTAGGCCGTCTAGTTTGATTGGTAAGCTCCATTTAATATAGAAATTACTTCTTTTTCGTGTTTGTTATATTTAGCCATTCAAAGTTTGTTATTCTGATTCTCAAATTTAAAAGCATTCTTTGCTACTGTTATTTGATAATATCATCTAATGAATATATTAACATTTTATTTCTGAACATTAAAAGGAAGAAAGATCAAAAGCTAATTAGTTTATAGCATTTACATAGTCGTTATTTCAAAACTCCAATCCCAAAGGCATATTGTATTAGTATTACAGAAAAGAAGTTAGACTGCAACAAAGTTAAATTAATGATAAAAACTACTTAACCGCAGTCATAAAACAGGAAAAAAATATATAAAGTAACATTGCAGTTACAAATGGAACAGGGTAGGCTTTTAAAAAATTTAAAATTGTAATTTAATATGGTATTTGAAACAAAGAAGCATTAAACAAGAACTTTTTTTTCGAATAATGCATTTTGTAAACGAGGTGGATGCTGAGTTAATGCAACAAGACGAATCAGCGAAGACAGGTATAGGAAAAACATGGCTCGCTGTTTTATTCGTGTTCTACACAGAAGTATTTTTTATTTACTTTTGTATAGCCAGTTCAGAATTACCCGATCCGATGAGCTTTTGGGAGCAACTCAACAAAAATTGAAGTTGGAAAAGAGAAATAAAGTAAAAACGTATAACGTGGACTCAAAACTATCGATTATTTCCACGGATTCAATGAATAACAAATCGTCAAGTTCATTCATACAATGGGACAGAACTCGAATGTCGGCTGTTGATTACCAGCAGAGTTTCTGCCCGTTGCGTTGCTATAACAACGCGACGGTGCCCATGTACGACATGACTCATCGGTGCCCGTTTCCGTTCTGCGACACCTGTACCTGCGACAGGCCGGCTTGTGAGATCTACGACAACTGCTGCCCGGATATCACGGAGACGTTCTTCCGTCTCGACAGTGACACGAAATACCGAACATACCCGAACATGACCGAAAATTATCGAATATTTCCGATCTTTACCGAGTCTAACCGAACACTCCCGAACACTACAGAACAGGCCGTAACTTTACCAAGCGCTTTTAAATATCCCCGGAATACCTCGAACTTAACCGAATCGTTTTTTGAAAACTACAAAATTCTCAACACCACAATGGAATGCGATGTCAAATATTCCGAAGCGCATGTGTTATACATTCGGTCGTGCGTGTCCGGATACGACATCGACGAACAAACTAAGGAGTTGTGTGTAAATGACGTGGAGCCTGACCGTGTCACATTAGACACATTCACGCACGTCGAGGACGAGCGTACAGGTGCCAAGTACTGGAACGTGTACTGCGCCAGGTGCAATGGGGTCAAACAGGTACGTCATGTATGTAGTCAAACGGGTTCAATATGTACGTGGTCAAACGGGTACGTCATGTGTGGTCAAACGGGTACGTCATGTATGTGGTCAAACGGGTAAGTCATGTATGTGGTCAAACGGTTACGCCATGTATGTGGTAAAACAGGTACGTTATGTATGTGGGTTGGACGGAGTGGCCTAGCGATAGAGAGCTGGACTGCTAATCCGTAAGTCTTGAGTTCGAATCCGGGTTCAAGACAGTAGACTGTCCCTGAGTCCACCCAACTCTGATGGGTACCTAACTCACGTTAGGGTAAGTAAAGGCGGCTGGGCATAGTGCTGACCACACTATCTCTTCATATGCCGAGGTCACGGAAACAAGTGAACTCTACTTCACTTGCCCCGTAGACAGTCAGGTTTGAACTTTACACGTATGTGGTCCAACGCTGGTTAACTCATGTATAAATGTACTTTATTTAACAACTTTACAAAGGGACGGCGCGGTCTAGTCGTAGAGCGCTAGACTGCTAACCCGAAAGTCTCGAAACCGTGTCCATAGGACGACCCTTCACCTAACTAGTGGTCCTCCGTGTTCGAACGGGAACTTAACTTTAATTATAAAACTTCTTTTCATTCGAATAAATAAATGAGATGAATAATGAATTGTGTTAAAACAATATACCCCAGTAACTATTAACAGGTAATTTTTAGAAGTTATAAAATAAGTTTTAACTATTTTAAAAATCATCTGGAATCCAGATACAAACTCAATTAACTTTGCTCTATTTAAAATCAGTTCAAAACATCCTATTATTTAGATATTAAAGATCGAATTTAGTGTCTCATGCAAGCATTACATGACGATATACGAGCACGTGGAACCAACGCCAATGTTGAGAGCCGCACTCAAACATTGTTCAGTCGTTCATGTTGTCCAGCGCCATTTATACAGCTCACAGTGTATTGATACAAGAAACATGTACGTATAGCTTTATTGTTTATACGTATCCATCTATATATCTTATATATATATATATATATATATATATATATATATATATATATATATATATATATATATATATATGCAGATATATACATATGAATATATGCAGATATATACATATGAATATGTATGTATATATATATATATATATATATATATATATATATATATATATATATATTTTATATATATATATATAAATATATATTTATATATATATATATATATATATATATATATATATATATGATATAGGGTTCTATATATAATACTTTAGTTTGTCAAAAACTAATTTATATCTTTACAATATACATGTATTATGTATTGAGAGAAAACAATACTTACAGGTGTGGAATCTTGTAATTTTTTTTAACAGGACGTTTGTTGATAGCTGTGATTCAACCGGTTCTAATAACCAATTTGACGAGGAAACCGCTAAGGCCTGCCGAGATCTCAATAAGCCGATCTATAGAGTGTTGACCATGAACCCTTCAGTGGTGTACAAAAATATTTTCTGTGCCATCTGTCAAGTGGTAAGTGTTGTTTTTGTTAGGTTATTATTCTACGTTAATTTTAGTTACTAGACTGGAATCCCCACTAAAAGAGGAAAGTGGGTGGAGCAAAACAAACTCAGCTGTCAGTGAAGCCGAAGCAGCCGGGTCATGGACAAAACTTGTAGGAGTCGCCTGTAACAGAGAGAACGATAGAGAAATGTGGTTGTGTCTTTATGCTCCACAAATGGTCCACAGGAAAAATGATTATATTTTAGTATAGACGAAACATATTTATAGGCTGCGGCATGGGATTTTTTATCAAGTTACATCTTTTTACCTATTATTTGCAACCAAGTGCAGGTGTTTAGTAAATCATAAGCCTTAATTTTTTAAAAGTGTTTTTGTTATTAAAGGCTAACATCAGGTACCTATTACTTTTGTTAAAAAAAATTAAAAATTACACTTTTGGACTTAGCGGTCAATAATAAAGATGATGAAGAATTTGTTTTATTTGACCTCAGTATACATAAGGATTGTAAAGTCTATTCTTTTTTATCACATCGTTTTCAAGTTGTTTGAGCTAGTCTTCAAATAAAGCGGGACTGATCTCCCCTAAACTTTTTAGTATATTCTTCTTTTAGCCGTTCCGGTCAGGCTTTGCATTGCCTTTTAAAAAAATAGTTTGATAAATGGATTGCCTTAACTGACCGTTATTAAGTTTAGTTTTAGAATGTTGACTTAAAATGTGTTGTTTGTAATACTGAAATTAGTTCAGTGTATTGAATTTTCTTTTTTAAATGTAACAGTGTTTTTGTGGCTCATATTAACGCAGTTATATAACATTTCATCTGTATTTTTTATATTTCATTTATATTACATTTTGCTCCAATATATCAGCGATACGGATGAATAAACAACGAATTAAAAGTTTATACTGAACATTTAAAAAAATTAAGCACCACGTTTGTTTGTTTTTTTTTGTCGAGGGGGTGGGGATATTAATTATATTTTGCAAAATATAACTTTTTAAAATTTATATTTTTTAAATGACAGTAAAACTTTCTAAAACAAAAACAAATGGTCAGTAAGGGTCAGATTTTATATTACCTTGGCGCAATTTTTAGAAACTATGAAGAGAGCCACCTGCCACCTTTATTATTACTGTAGTTAATCTATCGATAGATATCTTACCTGTAATTATCCTATCTGTAACTGAAAAAAAATCTGTAATTAGTCGATCGTAAATATTTTAACTGTTATCAATATATCTAAAATATTTAAATTATTTCCAGATCTTCCAGTCAATAAAACCTCACTACGAATCGTGTAAACTAAAAAGAAATCCGTCCTGGATTTTTCTGCCCCACCCTGACGTAAGTAACGTGTCATATCTTTTCTTATCTGACTATTGACATGTTGTGTACGTAACAACACCATCAGTTTACGTTGTGTGCTGTTAACACATTGGCTTATCAATCTAGCCTGTTATGCACATTTTAATGGCTCAGACTTTAGGTCTAAACATCCACAACGACCTTAGTACATTTTATCTAACCTGTTATGTACCGCTTAATAAATCAGTCCTTTGGTCTAGAAATTCACACCTTCGTAACAACATTACTGAGGACTGAATCTACTAGACATTTAATGAAACATCCTCGGTGAATATTCCCCAACTTCTACACATCGTCTACAACACAACTTTAAGTAGCATGAAAACTGTGCATAGCATAAACCCAGTGTATTTTTAAGCTTTTCTTGAAATTGCTTCTAAAAAATAAATATAAAATTGTGGGTCGTTTCTTAACTTCTAGAAACGTATTCAGTACATAATATATCTCCTTTTTAGTGCATTATTACATAAAAGCTTGTTATTAAAACGTTTTTTATGCATTTTTTCGCTATTCGAGCCTGCACTCGTAACAGTTGTGAAACTCCAAAAATACATTGAATTGTACCATACCATGTATTTATCTGTAATTTTTATCAATGGTTACTTCTAGACCGACTCAACGCCAAATAAAGAGAAACTGCCGTTCTCGTTATTGCTAAATATCGGGACCTACTTACTACCATCTAGAACTAAAGGAGACGGAGACACCAGGGTCAGAAATTGTAGCGACACGGAGTGGTCTTCGTCAGCTGTAAGTCGTTATGTTACGCTTTGTTACGTAGATGAGGTAGAGTTTATCTGTTTCAGTAGTCTCGACGTTACGTTTGGGTAAGTACTTTTATCAAACAGTTGTCTAGGCAGCGAAAGGTTGGGGACGTTAAATCTACCCCTTTCCACATACACGATTCCCCACCCCCCCCCTAAAAAAAGGCACGAGGCTCATGAAACTTTACAACTATTGCCAAACTTGGCTTGATTCAATCGCTTTTAGTTATAACTGTAACAATAGTGCATTCTCAAAAGATACCTTAATTCCCTCACCCTCCACGTCCCCATAAAAAAAATCCTGCCTATGCTACTTATATCAAGTATTTTGGAATCCACGGAACTGCATTTTACTTCCCAGAGATCTCTCAGTTTAGAATTGAGCTTAAAATCTGAAAGAATTTTGGTAGATTTTTTATTTTCATTTACTTTCGATTTCTCATAACTACCCATTTCTAATACCTAAAAATAACAAGTATGATGCTAGTTATTTAAAATGCATTAAATTATCTTTTGAAGTTATGGGTATTTTCTATTGTATCTAACATCTCCTTTAGAAATCAATCCTTAGCTAGGCCTACATATTATAAATAAACTTTATTCAAACACAAGTATTCCTCATTAGTTTTGTTGTAAAACAAACACTACCAGCACGACATACGCCTCATCCATAGAACATTTTACTATGTCTACACAGGGAGACTGTATGGAGCTGAGGTGCACTGTGGGTAAACTCATGGACAACAGAACCTGCACGGCAGCATTTCCTTTTATCCGAGGTTTAACCTACAACTTCCAGCTATGGCTAGTAGCTGACCCTGACGATAACGACGAGTTTTTTAAACTTAAGGACTACTTTACATTAGAACAACTACTACGTTCGATAGATAAAAAGGTATATCATTTACTATTATAATATATTACTGTATACACAACACACTCATGTACATATATATATATATATATATATATATATATATATATATATATATATATATATATATATATATATATATAAACACATTTATTTATTCATTGTCTATTAAACATCGTATATTTTTCTGATTGATTTCCCCATAATAAAAAAATGTTCATTGTTGTGTATAGATGGACAGCCTACTAGTGTCGTCTGGGGTTGAATACTTCGCCAACACAGCTGTAATGAAAACCAGAATCGGCTTGGTGGAAAACTTCTACTTCACATCCACCTTTATATTTAGTGCACATTATACCTTGGTCGGTAATTTTTCTTTACCAAGGGACAGTGCAGAAGATCAGATACTGGAGACTTTATTGTTTAGTTCTATAACAGTGCCAATAATTGACACTGTGTCAGTCAAGATGCGAGCTGTGTCAGGTTTTGGTGGGTTTGTACCTTGCTCGCGTTTTGCCTCTGGTGGAATGGTTCAGTGCCTCGACGCGACAAGGGGTAATATTTCTGAGAAATTTTACTCGGGCAGAGCTATTTCCCTTAAAAATACACTCAAATGTCGTTTTGTAAGCTTTAACAAGTCGGATTATTCCGTGGAGATGAACGACACTGAAATCCCACCCAGCGTTACAGTTTTGGTTCGTCTGAAGGTGGTTAATTTGACTTTCACAGAGAGCTCGGAGCTAAACTCGATAGAGCTTAACCAACACGGCGAGTTGAATGTTTGTAATGAACTGCTAGACAAAAAGTTAAAGGAATGGAAACGGAACAAAAACTTGCATCACAAGGGTACAAACCTAATGAGGAGGGCTGGTTATATCTTAACCTTGACCTGTGCTTCCGCGTCTATGGTGTGTCTGTTGCTGACCTTGATGACGTACATCCGGTTCCCTGTGCTGAGGAACACGGCTGGGAAGAACACCATGTTTTTGTGTGCTAGTCTGTTCCTAGCCCAGGCAATGTTGCTGACCAGCTCACACTTGTAAGTTGATAAGTATTTTAGTCGAGCGGTTATACGGGTAATTAATCAAAGGTAATATATCATAGATGGGACAGCATAGCCTAGCGGTAGAGTACTAGACTACTAAACCCGAAAGTCTCGAGTTCGAAGTCATTAGAACCTTCCTGAGTCCACCCAGCTATGTTGGGTTCCTAACTCACGTAAAGGAAAGTAAAAGCGGTTGTCCACATTATCCATTCATATGGCGAGGTCAAAGAAAAATAAACTCTACTTCATCAGTAAAATGGAACGTAAGGTCTAAAGAGGAATCGTTTCTTTAAATTATATCATAGACTTTTCTTTAGTTTCATGAGTTCGCTTAGTATTGGTAAGTATCTGACTTACCTCGGGAAAGTGAAGTCAGCTTCACGTTTACAAATAATTATTAAAACTGTAAAACTCTTACATCTGCCCACTGAATCATCAAGTTACATATTTGTTTCTGTTTTGAAACTGTTTAATTTAGTTTTTTAATAAGCGATTTTTTAATTTTTTTATATAGTTTAAATATCTAATCCGTTTTCTTAAACTTTATATGTTAAAAACAATGTATTTTATAAATATATTTTCGATTACATTATAGAGGGATAATTTCTTTTTGCTAACAGCGTAAATCCATACATCTAACATCCATTCAATTTATATTCATAACATATTCGTTTTCATGAAAGTTCCTGAAAACTCAGACGTTTAAGTTTCTTAAGTTTTTCCAAATTCTTCCATATGAAGATCGGCACCAAGTTTAATCTGCACCGCCTCTGGAATCTCCACCCACTTCCTCTGGCTCTGGATGTTGTCCTGGAGCTTCACCTGCAGTTACCACATGTTTCAAATCTTCACGTCCAAGGCACCAACGTGTGCCAGGCCTCGTTCTGCAGGACCCCAGATGTACAAGAATATCATCAGATCCCTGATACTGCCCTCAGTAGCTGTGGCTGGGGTGATTGTCTTTTCGTCTGTCTACACGAGCGGTTTGAGCTACGGATATGGGAACTTTGCCTGCTATATTGATGCTCCGATGATGAATGGTATTTGAGTTGATTAAATTATCAAACTTGAAAAATAATTTCAACTTTTTTTATAGATATAAAACCCATTTTACATTTGTATAGCAATGTGGTTTTTTTAGCGACTGTATAGATTAATTGTTATAAATATTGTTTAAAGTTTTTATAAAATATTTAAGAAATGGTCATTTTGTGAAACCTTCTTTAAAAAGGAATTTAACAAAATATAATTTAATTGGCCACAATTGTTCTAAATTTCCCACATATCAAAGATATACGATCATACATTGGACACTTTCTTTATTTTTTAATATAAGGAATTATTCTTTATTACTTTTTCTTTTTAATAATGGTTTATCATATTTTTATCTTAAGCATGCGGGGTTTTTCATTGAATTTGCCTTTACCATCTAAAAATAAAGGTTTAAAGCCGATTCTAGCCGGAAATAGATACGCATGCGCATGGGACAGAAACTACCACCTTATTCGCAGAACCCTAACTCTAATCCTAACTATAACCCTAACCCTAACACTAGCGCAGCTATTAAAGTCATTGCGCATGCGCAGAACTATTGAGTTTCGTATTTTCTGCAAAAAAAAATTTTTTCCGAGTAGTCACTTCTTAAAATAAAACTAACACGCCGAAGCATAAGGATGATACATTGATATTAATACCTATTTGGTAATTTCTCGTTCATGGGAGCTAGGAGATATACAACGGTTGTTTTGGAGTAGGTTAAAGATTTACATTTTGGCTAATTGATTGAATAATCATCACTACTTAAAATGTTGTATTTCATTTTTCATTTCTTATTTTAAGTATAATGGGACTTGAACACAGAATCTTTTTCACAAATGTGCATTTCTCCCAGGTATCATATTTTTGGCCGTCTCATTATGATAACACCAAAAGCATATCTCTGTTTCAGCCATCACATTTGCTGGCTCTCTCATTAACACCAGCAACATATGTATTTCAGCCATCACATTTGTTGGTCCTCACAATATGTTAACACCAGCAACATATGTATTTCAGCCATCACATTTGTTGGTCCTCACAATATGTTAACACCAGCAACATATGTATTTCAGCCATCGCATTTGCTGTCCCTCTCAATATGATAACACCGCCAACATAATTCTATTTCAGCCCTCACATTTGTTGACCCTCTCATTACACCAACAATATATTTCTATTTCAGCCCTCACGTTTGTTGCTCCTCTCATTACACCAACAATATATCTCTATTTCAGCCCTCTCATTTGTTGGTCCTCTCATTACACCAACAATATATCTCTATTTCAGCCCTCATATGTGTTAGTCCTCTCATTACACCAACAATATATCTCTATTTCAGCCCTCTCATTTGTTGACCCTCTCATTACACCAACAATATATTTCTATTTCAGCCCTCACATTTGTTGGTCCTATCATTGTTATAACACCAACATCAAATCTCTATTTCAGCCCTCACATTTGTTGGACCACTCACTACGATCACCTTCAGCAACATCGCCTTCTTCTTGATCACGGTCTTCAAGATCCAAAGCATTGTTAAACTCCAAACCACTGAAACGTTTAAAAAAGACGACCGACATCACGTATACGTTTACATCAAGCTTTCCCTAATGACGGGTGGCTTTTGGACGCTGGCTATCCTCGCAGAAATTGTGGACAATGATGTCTTGAGGTACACTTGATATTTGTAAATTGAAACGTATTTTGTATTAGAATGTTGGGTCTTAATTTAACACCTAATTAAACTTCAAACAACGCACAATAACGTTTGCTAGATTGAACGCAATAGAGAAATACTGCCTGCACTTACAACGTATGTAAAAAAAAGCCCTTCTTTAGACCTAGTGATCTATTGGCTAAATAAGGTAGAGTTAATATGTTTCTTGATCTCGGCGTATGAAGGGATGTTGTAGTCAACATTATGTCAAGTCGCTTTTGATGGATAGGGATATAACATGGAAGTTAATAACAAATGACATTTTGTTGCAGGATCGTTTCCATCCTCCTCAACGGTCTGCAGGGGGTGGTCCTGTTCGTGTCATACAGCTGTAACAGACGTGTCTATAACATGTACATCAGTTCTCGTGGCGACCACTCCACCTCGACCACAGCCTCGGTCGTTGCACGGAACGTCAAACTGCGACTGGCATACCCAGAATAAACATTTACATGAGATTTTTAAAAACTCACTTCAGATCGTTTTATTGTTCTCATTTGTTTTTGGTTTCTGGTATGTACATCTGTATATCGAAATATCTGAATCTAAACTTAATGAAGAAAGATTTTTCGTGTTGGATACTCTTGTGGAAAATGTTTGACAGAATCAAAGTAACATCTTTTTCTTCTTACCGATAACTTTTTTGGCGTATGGAACACACAAAGAATGAGTAAAATGTTCTTTCATTTAAAGCTGCTACCTATCATTTAATCGTATTGCTACTTAATTCGATTTTACTAAAATGTGGCTAATTGGAAAGGAAATAATTACAATGACCTTTCAAAATACTCTGATGTTTAAATTGTTTGAAAAGCCTTCAACAATGTTCCCAGCATTTTGTGAGAAAATAGCTTTATTAACCGGTCTCCTTCTGAAATGTTGACGTAGCTTAAATGTAAATAATTATTGAAACATGAGCTTTTATAAAAACAAAGGATTCTGTTTGAGATTTCTGAAAACTAAAAGGTTCAATATTTAATAATATCAGATTTAACAACTTATAGTGATATACCTAATCATTTTTTTAGAGATTTATTTACTATCATTCATTTTGTCGACATAAAAATTTTGTGTTTAATTACACCGACTTTTTAAAAATGGAATTGGTGTTAATCAATTTAAATTATCATTTAAAACAACAGTATTATATTTTAAAACTTATCTTAAAAAAGAATGTAATCTAGATATTAAAAATTAACTTTACATAAATGTGTTAAAAATGTTAAATTGTTTTTTTTTTATTATTATTAATTAATATTATTAATAATTGCTTTTTAAGATCATTAGAGTGGCTGAAATTACATCGTATAAGTGTTTTTAAAATACGGTCCAAGTATCAAAGGATTAAGCATGAAAACACACACACACAAACACACATACACACACACACACACACACATATATATATATATATATATATATATATATATATATATATATATATATATATATATACTATTACGGTGCTATTTAATCAACTCGTGATTTAATTTCCCATCCCCTTAGACGCCCAACAGTATAATTTACCCAGTAAATTCCTTAGTGATCTAAATTTTACATTTCAAGATCCCCTGCTGATTTCAAACAACTACTAATGAGCAAATTAATTATTAAAGTACCCGACGGTTGTTAATGACATTTGATCAGTTTCTTCAATGACTTTTAACAAACACTATCATTGTTAAACAAAGCACAGACGCTAATGTATACGAGATTGTGATAATTTTTCAATAACCTATGTCGAAGAATAGAGTTCAACCTTTCGGTATCATGTTTCAAGAAAAATATTTATATATCATTTTATGATAATTATAATTGAATGATAATTTATCCGGACATAAACACTTTTAATTAATCAGTCTGTTTTTATGTTAAGCCAAATAAAATATATTCTTTGGGAGTACACGATCGGTGTTCCGCTTAAATATTTATATGCAGAGACTTGTTTCCTACTTAATTCAAACCATGGGGGGGGGGGGGGGGGATCGTAGTTGTTGGATAGTAGAGCGCGCGAAGACTAACCCGAAAGTCTGGAGTTCGAACCCTGGACACATGAATTCACCCGACTCTGATGGGTACGTTACTCAAAATTGTTAAAGTATAGGCGGCTGTTCGCAGATCTGAACGCTATCACTATAAATGTTTAGGTCATTGTCTTGGTGCTACCAGGAAAAGTTGATGATGAATTCCCAACCCGTTAAAATTATCAAACTCTGACAAGGAGATGACAACAAAAAAAATCACTAGATATTGAGTTTACTCCCAAAGGTTGAAATGGACCTCTTCGGTACAGGGCAGCACTCCTCGTATCTCTGCAACATCGCCGCCCATACTATGGCTAGTATAAGAGCAAACATTGTCATATCTCTTTTTAAAAGAAGCTACATGTAGAAAAAGCAGTTTTAATTGTTAGTTATTTGCCGCTAAAAACAAATGTTTTAATTTAATATTTTTGACTTATCTTATGGCTAGATTATATTAAAAATTAGATATCTTTGTATTGTCATCGGAAATGAATCTGGAAAGTTGGAAATATCTCGTTGGTTACAAATGAGTTACAAGATTTTCCACAGATAAGCACGCAAATAATAAAAACAGAAAAAGCAAACAGATAAACAAACAAATGAACAGTGTAAGCCTGATAAAAAGAAGCCTCCTTTGGATATTTCACCTACACAACTGCATCAAAAAAATATACAAACCATTTATTTTTAACTTGATTAGTAAAGCCATTACTCATATTCTCTACAAATGTTACTTAGATGAATCCCAGAGAAAGATAATAAGATCAAGCAAAATCTAATTACCGCTCGTTAAACTCACGTAACCTACTGTAATCTTCAACATCCTTTCATCTCAATTGGGTATATACTTGATATCTCCCAGCAGGCTTCTAACGAATGATATCAGCTAATTACTTAAATACTCGACGACGTCTAATTCTAATGGATTTATTCACGTAAATGCACACTAACTTGATAATTAACTATAAAACTTGGCAGAAGAAAATCGTGTTTTAAAAATGTGGTTTGTCGCCTACTTAATTTCCAGAAATAAAAAATTTCAAATGCATGATACCGATTTGTGTTTTCATAAAATTTGTTATGTGTGTAGTAAAGAAGAAACGAACACAAAATGATAAATCATAGTTTGACTAGGTTTATGCTAAATTTACTTTGTTTTCTTCATTGATGTAGCTTCTATTGCAAACATACATGGAGAAGGGGACACAATCGAAGTCAAGAGCGTTAATCAAATTCTAGACCGACCTCCGCGATCCCTTTTATCGCACTTGATGTTTAAAATCCCCACTGTCATCGCTCCTTTCAACAGCAGCTACATGTTACCGGTCGACTAACAGCAGAGTTACTGCCCCTTACGTTGTAACAACGGCGTCACTGTGGAGATGTACCCTGGGATAATGTGCTACATCCCGAACTGTCAAGCCTGTAGCTGTGAGAGACCGGCTTGTGCGATCTACGACAACTGCTGTCCTGACGTCACAGACACCTTCTACCGGGTAGTCGATAGCTTCACGGATATTGTGATTAATCTGAATCCAAAGAACGACACAGTACGTTACAGCCCAATTTTAACGTGCGATGAGGAATTATCCGACAGACCGATGCTGTACATTCACTCCTGCCCACCTGAGTAAGACATGGACGTGCCCACGAGAGAACTGTGTGAGCAGGAGATGGCGACTGACAAACTAACACTGGAGAGTTTTACTCACGTCGAAGACGAATCTACAGGTGTGCTCTACTGGAACACGTATTGTGCCAGGTGTAACGGGGTCAATCAGTTATCTCGTTTTTTTGTACTCGTCAAAAAAAAATTATTTCACTAATTTCTTTTAAATTATTTAGATATAATTTGAAACTTAATGCGAAATGTGTCGAAGGACTAATGCTGTTTTTGTTCAATTTTTTATTATAGTTATGTTACCCTTCGAACCTGACCGTCCTTTGGGCAAGTGAAGTAGAGTTCACCTGCTTTTGTGACCTCACCATATGAATGGATAATGTGTCAGCACTATGTCCAAACACCTCTTGTTCTTTCCATAGAACTAACCACGCCAATCCTTCATATGCTGAGGTCGTCAAGCATATCCACTCAACATCATCAGCCATATGGATCGTTAGATCTGAAAGAGGAGCTTTACCTTCCATGTAAATAAAATTATAAACCAAATCATATATATAGTGCACTCCGATAATCTATGCAAGGCATAAAATCACTCTACAACTATCTAGATTTGTATGCGTTTGAATTGCAGCCCAATGTTAATTTAACATCTAATAATTTGTAAAGGCTTACTTCTCATATTAAGTTATATAAATCTTTACGTTTAGGACTCGATTTGATATCTGCATAAATTTTACTCTAAATGCACTTTAATGTCACTCGGGCCTCTACATGTAAGAAAAATGCTAATTAAGCTTGGAAAAAAATACTTATAGGAAATTGATGTTTTAATAAATTTCATATTCCTAGAATCGAAAACAGTTTCAAGTACACTTGTGCGATACATTTTTCTATTTTAATTATAATTTTAAAGACACCACCCTCTGCTTAAAAAATCAACTTTTTCATCACATTTCTGAAATTTTGAGTTGATTTTTACAAAGCAACTAAAACGAAAAATATAGTATACGAGCCGACCCGCGGTGTATCATACGCCGCTATTTAATTGTTTTTTCTACTTTTCAGTAAATCATAATTAGTGAATTTGACAGTACCAATGCTGCCACTGAAAATATTTGCTTTAAAACCATGTGAGGGGGGGGGGGTGGGGGGGGGGGTTGGGGATGGTGGAGGGTGGTAGCGAGAGAGAGGAAAAGAGGGGACTGCAAGGCGCGCTTGCAGCTTGTTTTCTAACGTCTCCCAGAAGAGAATTATATATATAGATTAGATATCATTGTTTTCGTCTGTTAGAGCTGTAAACGATACTCTACATTCGAATACAGTTATTTAGCTTAAAATGTGATATTTCAATAAAAGATTTCGCAAATCAAGCGATTTCATTGGTCCGATTTGTATTTTCAAGCCGTACCTTAGTAATGACCTTTCTGCGCATGCGCAGTGCTCGAGTTCGACGGATTTTTGTCAACAAACGAAAATGGCTACGCGATTGTCTTCACATCAATTTTTGCAATAACTAACCCTTTGTTTTCAACATGACATGCAGTTATTGCTCGAAATAACAGATACCATGACAGGAGCAGCAAAGTGCCCATCTACTATAAAAAACTTATGATGTCAAGTTATTGAGCTCACCCTCTTGAAGCAGAATTGTGAATGTTGTCATAAGCTAAAGTTGTATGTGAATATTATTAGCACATTATTTGTCAAATATGTATTAAACTATAATTCAAATATGCTAAAATGTACTATCATCAAGCTGGTGTTAGTCTAGGAAAAAGATAATTGCAACTACACAT